TACCTTATGCCTGTAACTACGAAAGTATGTATATCTATGTCCTTTTTGCCTATTTATCTTACGTTACATAAATTCCATCCTATGCGTTGTATACACCAAAGCACAAGGGCTTTCTGAGATGCAATTTCTTCGTGTTCAGGATATTATTTTTATTCATCTTTGCTTGTACATTATTCTTGGTTTACTGTTTGTTAGTACAAGTGACAATCTCGTGTTTTCGAAAGATACCATCAGATGAATGAGTGTCTTTAAACGGAGTGTAGTCTGTCAGTTTGTTGTGGCACGTGCAGGCCGCTCGTGACAGCCTTATGCTGTATCAAGTCTTGGGACGCCGGAAACTCTTTCTCCTTTTTTACATTTTCTGTCAGGGTACAAAATTTGAGGAGACAGTAAAGAGATTCGTGAACCTGGGCAACGTCCTGCGTTTGACGTGTCTGTGCTCTCTAACCTCCTTTGCTCCTAAATCTAAAACTCTTTTGCACTTATAATGCCGGAAAGAAATGTGGAACATTAGATGTCAAACTTACACTAGATGTAAATGTGCAAGTCATTGCGTACCGTAACCGTATATAAAAGTATATGTTACTTTTAAAATTATATACAGTAAAAAAAAAAAACTTTACCTTGTAACAAAACGCATAAAGTTTAGTTTGACATCTTCTATTGTTTAACTTAGAAAATATATTATTGCTCTGCATCTACTTATTGACTGTACTTGTAGTTTGTTTGTTTTTGAATTTCGAGCAAAGCTACACGAGAGCTATCTGCGCTAGTCATCCCTAATTTAGCAGCGTAAGACACTAGGGAAGGCAGCTAGTCATCACCACCCACCGCCAACTCTTGGGATACTCTTTTACCAACGAATAGTGGGATTGACCGTAACATTATAACGCCCTCACGACTGAAAGAGCGAGCATGTTTGGTGGGACGGGGTTCAAACCCGCGACCCGCACATTGCGAGTCAAGCTCCCTAACCATCTGGCTATGTCGGGCCGCTTGTACGTATAGAAGCGTCTGGAAAATTTCGAAGCCTTATACCATAAAACTCCCTTATATTCTGAAAACCCTACCTAAACATCAACCTTTAACAATGAAATAAAATTTTTAGGCAGATTTTCTTTTTTATTTAAATCTTTAGTTTTTGTTGATAAACAGCTACACTGTAGGTATTGAGATTTAAGCACATTTATATATAAGGTTAAAATCATTTACTTCAATAACACGTAAAATATGTTATTTTATAACACAATACTCGTAAAGAGAAATGAAAAAATTCGTTTCAATCTAGACTGATCAATGATATCAACTGAATGAATTTACTTACTCTAACCTCATAAGAATCCCAATGTATGAAAATCAACAATTGAGTGTAAGCATCAAACAAGCTTAGGCAGCTCAGAAATTAATACACTAATTTCACTACAAGTTTTATATGCCCTATTATGTTAATTTCAGTGCTACTGATATGTGATTAAAGTAATCATAATTTTAACTAATTTATACGTGCATTTATAGTTTTAATGGTCTCTCAGATGTATTACTATGGTTGCAAAATCACAATACGTGCAAACAGTTTGCTGTTATATGTATTCATGATAGATATATAGCTCTTGCTACAAATTGATTGCAAGGTTACTGATGAAGTCCTGCGTGCATAAATGCACTTTTTGGAAAGCAATTATTACATTAGAAAAAGTGATTCAAGAATATTACGTTGGTAATTTATCCGTGCCAGTAGCTACTGTAACAATGACACACATGCTATATTTGATATAATGCCAAGAAGGTTATACTGGCATATCCATGTGTTTTGTATAAAGCTACTGTAACAATGACACACATGCTATAATCGATATAATGCCAAGAAGGTTATACTGGCATATCTATGTGTTTTGTATAAAACTACTTTAACAATGACACACATGCTATAATCGATATAATGCCAAGAAGGTTATACTGGCATACTTATGTGTTTTGTATAAAGCTACTGTAACAATGACTTGCATCATAAAGCTGTAATCTGAACAGATTAAGAGGGTGTTCTTTATATGGGTTTAAGCTTATACTATGATCACTGTGAAGTCATATTTAAAGTGACTCTAACATAAGTTTCGTAATTTTTTTATTAACAATTGAAGTCTAAAACTTTCCCAAATACGAAAAAGTATTTTTTTTTCCTGTTTGCTTTCTTCAGATATGTTTCATATCTGTAGACGTATGCACTTACTGCTGTGTACACAAAGAACTATTTTATGAATGCCTTAACGAACGTTTTAATGTTCATGATGCGAGATGATTTATACATGTAAACTAAGCTTGGTGACTAAGAAGAGCCTGGATAAGGAATGTAGTGTTAGCAAATATAATAAGTCTAATATTAATGTCTTATGACCAGAATAATTAATTATATCTTGCTTCGTCAGCTTAGAAAAGGTGTTCACACTATAACAAAATTACTCGATAGGTGTTGTTAATGGAGGGTATCTGTCTAGGAAGTTTTGGACGACATTTCGAGCAACTACCCCAATAATAAATCCCAATTTAATGTCATGTTCCAAACTCTTCTATAAAAATATAAAGTGCACTACTGGAGCTGACTTTCTTCAGTTCTTCCCTTCTTAAGTGGAGGAAAGCTTATAGAAATTGATGTCTTACATCATTCATTTTTACTGATGAAGGGAAATAAAACATTTGACATAAGCAAAGGGTTACTAAGAGTGTTAATATCAGTAAACATTTTAACGTTTTACTACTAAACGATTATTGTTTCATTCTATAGCAGTTAGTGAAATAACCGTGGTTAATACAGATCTTTTACAACGCAAATACTCAACCTGCTTATTTCGAGATTTTCAGGTAAAACGCCACGATTGATTTACTAACTATAGGATTGAAAACCTATATGCATTGAAAATATTCTGACGCTAAAATACTTTTTATACTAACATCACCACAGTGCTGAAAGCCCTAATTCATTCTTGAAACTTTATGCTGAAGACATTTGTTACTAATGTAATTAGGATGTCTTACAAAGAAAACTATTTTTATGTATGGTTAAATGATGACATACATAGTTCATAATAATTTTCAGAAGAACTGTCACAATTTATAAACTCACGTTAAAATTGTATCATCTTTCAGCTTTATCGTATGGAAAACAGCTTACTAAACTCCAAGATTTACGTACGTCGCATAGGTGCATCAGCTAAATCAGTTAACGTGCTGTACAACAGTCCTGGCTAACACAATTTGAAGTTGTTGCAAAGAACATGTTACCTTGAATGCTTAACTTTCAGGTTATATCCAGACTTCAGCAGGAAATACTTTGAACAAAAGGATGAAAAGAAACACATGTAATCGCTCTGAATGCGCATGGGTACTGATGAGTATACCCATAGAGAAGGCATATATTTACATATCCAGGAGTTCGTTTACTATGAAACGTCAGCGACTAGGCCTGACCGTGATCCTCCAAAGTTCAAGCTCGCGTTTAATCTGTAGCGCTTGAACGTATACACGTCATCCAAATATAATCAATTACTACATATTTCGTTTGTTTGAAGCTCAATGCTATACTTCATTTTTTGAATCTCATGAAATAGAGAACTGCAAATACACATAAAAGGTTAAATAATTAAAATAAACTTATTGGGTTAGCAATGTGGTTTCGAAATTGCGAAATAAACACACAGGTTTATTTTAATGAATGCTAGTTTTGTGTCATAATAATACTGAAATAGAATTAGATCGTGTTTATTTACAATAAAAATAGGGAAAGATATGAACCTGCAACTGTAAAACATTTGTTGCCACAACTAGCTACTTATCAGTTTTAGGAAACCTAAAATAACAGATTTATAGTTTTTAAACAACGAATTTATTACCTACAAAACAATAGTGTAGTTCAACGTTAATATGACGTCACTGAAACGTATCTTGTCACGTTTTAGAACATCAAGTGCAGTAACATAATTTGGTAGAACACACATGATGAAGAACCTGATATACGAAAACTTGATACGTAGAATTCTTTCATTTCTTTTTATCTGAAGCTACTTGTGTCTAACATGATTGTTACGGACACATCGCAGGTCTAATAAAGAGAGGATGATAAGTAAACTTTAGTCTAATTGACTTACTCAGTTAGAAATCATTAAGTTACTAAGACACAAAATGTTAATTAGGATATTCGTATATTGCTTAGACGCCATGATGTTTTGTTGCCCCTCAACCTCCCACCCCACCTCCCCAACGTTGTCAACACAAATTTTTCGTGTGGCAACAGTGAGACCGGATGGTTGGCTCTGTAGGAGGGCAGGACAAAGGAGGATTCAAATGTGACGCAGCCTACTACTCCGCCGTGATTGGAAGATTGGGACAGAGCGGTGTTTGACACAAATCTTGCTCCCAGGCCATACATGTCTAGTGTAAATACTGTCGTTGAGCAAGTTTAAGAAAGATCTACGAATTTCCTTTTCCGTTCACTGGATAGAGTGTTAACAAGAAATCAATCCTGAACATAAGTAAATTCGATAAGATGATGTCCGGTTAGAGACCATCTGTGTCGTAATTGCATCGAAACGCAGAAGTTAAGAAAAAGTGGGTGGGACGCAAACGTAGGTGGGTGATTTATTAAGAGTACGCACGGAGATTCAAACTGATGGAAACCGGTAGAGGTAGATTGGTGGAGATAGCATGAACGAAACAGGACCCTCAGCTACTGGAAACAGCTGGCTTTTCACAGAACCTTGTTATGGTCAAGGAGGGTATTTAGAAACGCACGGCTCCGTCTGTTATGTTATGGTTTAGGAACATGTGATATTGAAAGTAGCGCAAGCGCCTGACGAGGAAGGTTGTGCTGCCATTAGCTCTCTTGACTGTTACTGTTTAACATTGCAATTACACAGTCGGTGCCTTGTTCGTGAGAGTGCAAAAGAAATCTTAAATATTACTTTTATGTGTGACAAACAACATATTTATATTCGTGCATATTATTAGAAAAGTTAACTTGTCGTATTTAATAGTCTAGTCACTTTCTGTTCAACATGAAGATGGAATCTACTGAAGGTCAACCTCAGATAGTGACGCAGGAAACACATTATAATGACCAACTCGGGACAGCAACACTAACTCCTGTGTCTTCTACGGCAAATATCTATGAAAATGGGCTGAACAGCAACCTGTCCGCCTCACCTACTTCTGGCCCTGACAACGATTCCGGAGACAAAGTGGTGTCGACCACAAAGAGAAGTGGAGCTGGTATTAGAAGACAGGAGAAACCTCCTTACTCTTACATTGCTCTCATTGTTATGGCAATTCAGAACTCGCCAAACAAGCGACTCACATTGAGTGAAATCTATAGTTTTTTACAACAGCGTTTTACCTTTTTCCGGGGCTCATACCAAGGTTGGAAAAACTCGGTTAGACACAACCTTTCGTTAAATGAGTGTTTTATTAAGCTCCCCAAGGGCTTAGGCCGTCCTGGAAAAGGTCATTACTGGACAATTGACCCAGCTAGTGAGTATATGTTCGAAGAGGGATCTTTCCGTAGACGACCTAGAGGGTTTCGAAGAAAATGCCAAACGTTAAAACAATATACAGCGTCTTATCAAAATCCTTCTCAAGGGATGCTTGCTGCTCACTACGATATGCTCGCACAACAAACTCCGCATTATTCGTGCAGCACGGTCATGGGCCCATTTTCGGGCCAAGACCCTTCGGTTATAGTGCCAGCCACCCAGGGTATTATACCCGGTACGGAGAACCAGGCCATGATACACAACTCTTCGGCCCCTCTAGCGGCTTCCCCACCGAGTGGATATAATATTGCAGCTCAAGGCGCCAATATAAATATGGGTATGGGAGGGATGAGCATGGGGATTACCAATGGCCACTATCAATCTAGCTGCTCATTTTCAAGCACAGGAACACTTCCAGCTCTGGCAGCAACTTCACCTCCATCAGATTACGGTCCCATGACAAATAACCTACAAGGTCAGAATTCTAATTATGGGCACATCCCTGGTTTAATGCCAATTAATGTGGAGCCATACCCCTCATGGACAACGCCATGTTCCATAAACAGCGTTCCATATATGAAACAGCAACCTTTAAGTCCTAACGGAAGTCCAGGAGCTTCTTCAATCCAAAATATGTCACCCAGTTCTCTGACAGCGCCCAGTGAGTCTTCGCATTATTCTGGGAGTCCAGCCCACCTAGGTTATCCGATGCTGTCTGGACCTCCTTGTTCTCTCGAGTCCATTGAATTTGGTATAAATGGTGGTAAGTCAATATCTATAATAATATTGTTGTTTGAGTATAGAATTTAATGTCATTTCTTGTGTCATTATCTTTCTGAAGGCTTCTATTAAATTAATATACAAAATTTAAACTCATGATGTATTTTTATTGTACACCACGTGAGCCACTGTACATTAAATCATTTAACATATCGAATGTAAGAGAATAAACTTAGTTGCCAAAGTGTTGTTACAAATATTATACCAACGTAAACCTTAGTCCTTTGTTATTCACCGCCCATATTATGTATGCATGTTCTTTTATTCTAATTCCACATTAGTACCTGAGCTTAAATCACCTGGAAAATGACAGTAGTCGCTCAATAGACGAAGGTTCGTCAGAAAAAATTCACAAAGATCTTTCCTAAATGTTTTTCTTTGAACAACCTCACTCTATAAAGCTGTTTGTTTAATATTTAAAAGGCTAATACTAGTAGTTTAACTACTGATTATTGGCATAATATTCAACAACAGATTATCATTCATTTGTGGTGGCTAATAATGGGAAATAAAAATATTTTAATTATAAACACTTAGAAAAGTAAGATCTCTTTATATATTTCAATATATTATGTGAGTCAGCCTTGGAGTCATGTTTGATTTGTATTATAAAGCAGTAGTTAGGCCCTTAGCCCATGTACGTTCACCACGATGTAACCATCTCTAATTGTTATGCAAAATCCTAATGATGTATACAACTCCTAAAAACAGGATCCATTTCCCTTAGAATATTACAGATATCATCTAAACGTTTAGTATGTAAATGCTAATTGTGTATGCAGTAGTTCTTTTTCATACTGAAGATTCTAGAGTCCTTGTATGTTTACCTTTTCAGAACGCTAGAAGTGATAACTGGTTACAGCTTACTGTATAAACGATACTACTCGTACATATTAAATAACGTTCTGTGTACGAAATACATATATTTTATTTATTAACCTCAATTGTCATTTGATTATCTCTTCAAAATATTTCTAAGATTTCTTCATACCTTGATTTTATTGCAGTTCTTGAGTAAAATGATTATGTTACAGTCCTTTATAAAATGGTTATGTTACAGTCCTTTATAAAATAGTTATGTTACAGTCCTTTATAAAATGGTTATGTTACAGTCCTTTATAAAATAGTTATGTTACAGTCCTTTATAAAATGGTTATGTTACAGTCCTTAATAAAATGGTTATGTTACAGTCCTTTATAAAATGGTTATGTTACAGTCCTTTATAAAATAGTTATGTTACAGTCCTTTATAAAATGGTTATGTTACAGTCCTTAATAAAATGGTTATGTTACAGTCCTTAATAAAATGGTTATGTTACTAGTCCTTATAAAATGGTTATGTTACTAGTCCTTAA